TAGCTACAATAGACTTTTTATTCAAATTTAGCAAAAAAGTAACACCAATCTTTCTCTTCTTAATAGCCAATTTAGCGTGTGAATTAAAAAACCTCGTATTTCATAAAAAGTTATCGGAGTATTTGATCAGACTGATAAGACAAAATAGAGACTAAGAAACAAGTTCAAAATATTTACATTACTAATATAAAATAAACATGTGACAATTTTGGTAATGATTATTTAGTACGCCCTCTGTCAGTTAAGATAATCTCATCTTTTCTTTCTTGTCATCAAACTACGAATCCGTTTGATAACACTGAAATCGGTTGATTATGCTGAAATGTATGAAGTTCTGGCTGAATGGTGGTGTTGGCTGATTCTGCTGATAAATGAAAAAATTATATATCAAATACATTTATTAATAAAATAAAGAAAAAGTTATATGAAAAATAGCTAAAATGATTATCTACAATAACTTCGAACAATACAGACAGAAAAGTAACTTCAACCTTATTTTTTCTTATTATTACATATTTCAGTGCGGCAAATCAAAAATTACGTGTTTGGTTATAAAGTTGACCGATAGCCTGATAAGCCGAAAAACCCAGTCACCAAACGGACTCTAAGATTGTCTTATATCAAATTTGGTAATGTTGTGTGGTTCAAAATCATTGTTGTTTCATTCTCACTTTATCAATCACATAAATTCGTTTTTCATGTCAACCACACCACTTTCTCTTGTACTAATGTTAGGGGAACCTAGGTAGCAAATGAGGTATATTTAAGAGCCCATTTGGTAACTCATTATTCATCTTATCAGCCTTATCGGTCAATATTTTTACCAAGCACGTAAAATAAACATGTGACAGTTTTGGTAATGATTATTTAGTACTCCCTGCGTCCAGTTAAGATAATCTCATCTTTTCTTTCTTGTCATCACACTACGAGTCCACTTGATAACACTAAAATCGGCTGATTCTGCTGAAATTTATGAAGTTCTGGCTGAAATGGTTGTATTGGCTGATTCTGCTGATAAATGGGAAAAAATATATTTAAAATATATTTATTAATAAAACAAAGAAATAAGTTATATGAAAAATAGGTAAAATGATTATCTACAGCAACTTCAGACAATACAATCAGAAAAGTAACTCCAACCTTACTTTTTCTTATTATTACACATTTCAGAGCGCGAAATCAAAAGTTACGTGTTTGGTTATGAAGCTGGCTGATAGCCTAATAAGCCGAAAAAATGAGTCACCAAACGGGCTCTAAGATTGTCTTATACTCCCTCCGTCCCAAAAAAGTGGCCGAATTTCCTTTTTTGGATGTCCCAAAAAAATTTGTCGTTTCCATTTAAAGTAAGGAATATGTGGCTAAAGTTAATTCTCTCTCCTCTGTACAAATTTCAACTACACAGCTTGTACTTTATTAATCCACGTGAAAGTCAATTTTGGTCAACCTTTTCGGGACGGAGGGAGTATCAAATTTGGTAATGTTGTGTGGTTGAAAACCATTGTTACTTCATTTTCACTTTATCAATCACATAAATTTGTTTTCATGTCAACCACACAATTTTCTCGTGTACTAATATTAGAGGAACCTAGGTAGTAGCAAATGAGGTATACTTAAGAGCCCATTTGGTAACTCATTATTCATCTTATCACCCTTATCGGTCAATATTTTTATCAATCACGTAACTTTTGATTTCTCACACTGAATTGTGCAATAATCAAAATAAGTAAGATTAGACAACTTTTCTGACTCAATTGATTAGAATTATTGTAAATGATAATTTTAGCCATTTTCTATATAATTATTTTAGTCTATTAATAAAATATTTTTTAAATATAATCTTTCTATAATTCAATATATTCAAACAATTCAGCCACTTTAACAAGCATTTATTCAATTTCAATATTATTTGAGAAAATTTATATTTCTTGTTTGACAAATAATAATGAAAATAAAGACATCCATAGTTCCATACTCATAAATCACATAATGATATGATATTAAGGAATAGCTTGTTATAATGTTAACAAGTGTACGTAGTAGTATACTTCATATTTCTTAAGCAAAAAAAGAACTATGGAAGGCTTAGAGCAAGGGAAAAAATGAAACGTGTGTTGCTTGTTTTGGAGTAATAATCTATTTGATGGGAAGGTAACTGTATTGAAAGCTTTAAAATATGTTAACTAACGGAATGCTAACAGAAAAGCAGGAGTAATTAGACATTAAAGATGCTATACATACTAAGGTACAGTCATTTTTGCTCAAAGTACAAGTGTACATTAGCTTATAATTACACCAACACATTTTTCATACCTAAAGTACCCTTACCTTCATTGGGGCTTATAAGATTTTATTATTATTATTTTAGAAATTACTCCGTATAAAAGTTCCATAATCTTGATTCTAAACTAAGTAGTGCTTCGTATAAAATAGCTAGCCATTAATTAGAGCCACAAAGAGTGAGAACACATGGGGGAGAACCGGAAAGAGATAGAGGTAGGGATATTCTAGGTAGGTGTGACTTGTGAGGTTTATAAAATTAGCGGAATAGAAACGTTGTGAGGAATAACGTTCTTCTCCAGCCCACTTTTTTCAATTTCAGCTCCATGTAGTCTATCATCCAAACAGTGCCAATTCTCCATTTATTGGCTGAAATTAAAAAATTCTAGCCCTTTATGGGCTGAAGTGTCATGCCAAACATAGCCAAAATTGATCAATTAGTGGCTCTCTAGCCCCCGGGCCTCAGCTTAGCAAATCAATTGATCAACATTTAGTGTGTGACTAAGACTTGAATTGAAATAAGTGAAACATTATAAATTCACAGGCTTATTAAGAAGGTAAGTATGGTTGAGATTAGGTATGATTATGGACTTGGACTTGAATTGAATTTAATAAATCTCTTTCCTAAAAGGGGCAAAAGTGAGTCATATTGAGGTGGTTCAAACTGAAAAACATAATTGGCCCCCACACTCCAGAAATGTTCGGGTCTTACAAACATATACATACAAGAAAAAAGATGATTCACAAGGGGGGGATGTACCTAGTTCCTAAGTCCCCATACCTACCTGGTAAACTAGATTTGATTACATTATGGTTATATGATGTGAAATTTGTACATGGAACTTGCAAAGATCTCATGTTGGGGATGGTTGCCGGTACTTGTCCTGAACAGGGAACAAAATCAAGCATATATTGCACGGAGGGGCATGCTGAAGGAAAAAATCGTTGTGATCATCGGAGAGCAGGACAATGGAAATGTAACATGATTAGCCATTAAAAACATTTTTAACTACTTATGCACATGCCAAAACAATGTAATTTGTAATTTTTGTACACTACTACCATTTAACCATTTTGGAGCCATAGAGGCTTGTATTTCAATAAAGGGCAAGGGATGGTTTGGTCTTCACTTTTGGCTTCCTTTTTGGCTTTTTCAGTTCCTCTCCGCGAGCATTGCCCACAGGCCTTGCCATGGGTGTACAGTAGACAGTTCAGGTCAAATTTCAGTTCATTTGGAATTCGTTGGTTGAGATGCAGATAGGTCTTGTTCAAGTTTGCCTCTGCTGGAACCCAGCCAACCGTCTTCGCAATCTGATAAACCTGTTAAACAATCTGTAATAATTAAGAATCTAACTCCTGCCCCCATCATTTGTCCCACAACAGATGGGAAATAGAACTATAAATAAATAATAAGCTTACATGTGTGTCTACAGGAAAATCATCTTGCTGTAGATGAAACATCAAGACACAAGCAACCTGCAGTATATCATATCCTGAAGTATGAGACTGGGGTTCTCTGTCATTTTTCTTTTTTGTATACTATTAGCCTTCACTTTATATAATAAAAATGTTCATTACAATATTTATATATTTCATGCACAAGTCTGAGTAATAAAAGTGTGCACCATTAAAAGTTTCATGCAACAATCAGTTACAATCATATTTCAATCTGAAAACAGCAGAAACAACAACATTCAAGCCTTAGTCCCAAAAAGATTTTGGGGTCGGATATAATCTGAAAACAGCGGATATACAAAGGAAAACTGTGGAAGACGCTTTAGCAATTAGGGAGAGTATAAAAAATTTGAACACTTTAAAAGCCAGTCCCACTTTCAAAACTCAGCCAATAAATGAAGGAGGAAAGGCTAATTGTGTCTAAAAAGAAAACTAGCCCTAGTGTATTCATGCTCCTGAACACTCCTCGTTGTCTACCTGGCCAAAAAATGTACTTATGGGCAGCAACTTATGTTTCTAGTGCCTTAATATGCAGTCCAATAAAAGCAGTTGACCATACAGTGAGGTTGATTAACTAACAGTTAATTTAAGTAAAAAAAGTAATATTTTAGTCTTTTATCAGGTATGCATATGCTCCCATTGTTTTTTAGACAGTAAACCGTTTCTGAGAAGCCAAACACCTTCTGAAAATACGAAACGTGCCGCTTGGGAGAAGTTTAAACATTTTGTATTCCTATGGTACGAAACTACGAATCTAGGACGTATGTGCAAAACATAATGGATTTATATTCCACACTGAAATATGTCAAAAACTGTAACTTCAAAGAGTTCATGTAATTCCACAATAAATTACACCTTATGCCAACACACAGTGGAATATTTCAGACATCTCTGATAAGCTTCGCATGAGCGGTCAAAGATTTCATTTTGCATGGGGTGCAATATGACAATGAAAGATGCTGAAGTGGTAATAGATCAACACAAAGATTGAGGTTGCTTAACTAGTTCATTATGAAACTTTTATTTAAAATAAATAAAATATTCAAGAAGTTTATTTTACAGTACGCAATGTAATGCATCTATGAAATGTTATCTATTATGAAGTTTCCTAATAACAATGGATATGGAACTTTATTCGGCTTGACTTTTATGGAACTCTAAACTATGTGAGTATATAAAGGTTATATAATTATTCCAATACTATGAGCTCATAATGGAAATATTATAAATCAGTATCTAACATGTGAACACCTATTGTGAAACCTAATTGATGGTATAATTATCCCAACCATGGATAAATATTGATCGGATTAACATGGATGAAAGTGAGTTAGAGGTTGATGTGCACGGTAACTATGTACGGGTGATGATAAGGTATAAGAAGAGCTCGTACGTGATGACCATGGGCGGGTTAGGAGATAAAAGACTGTACATGGCGGCTGTGGACAGGAGTTAGTAGAAGAATAGGGAGTACGGAGTAACCATGGATGTCATGGTAAGCTTATCCAAAGAGCACGTCCATAGCAACCATGGACGCAAGTAGAAGACCAGAGTGCACTATAGCCTTGGATGCCATGGCGAGCTTATATAAAGAAATGTCCACAGTGACCCTGGACATAGTAGTAGAAGCTTATCTAAACAATCTATACATGGTGTCTCTGGACATCATGGCAAAAGCTACATGGCGACTCCGTACGACAAACTACATCAACGACGTCTTTTCAAGATATTCACACAATCAACAAAGGATTCCACAGATCCGGATTATTGATCTGCATATCAATTCGAACATGGCGACCATGTCGCCCGAATCTTTTATGTCTTATTTTCTACTATAAAATCATGTAATCTTTGTAAAGTTAATCAAGCTCAATACACTGAATACACTACATACATTTATCTCTCTAAAGATTATCCTGAGCACTTTAATTATTTTCGGCTATCTCTTATTAATTATTTTCCGGTGGATTTACTTCCATCATTTTGGTGCTTTCATTGAGAGCCGAAAATACACTCAGGCTATTTCAACGTTGTAACAATGGCTACTACAAGGGCGGAGAAGGATGTACCCGCCGATGGACACACTGCGTCCAACTCATCGGGTCAAGACCTGCGTAACCGACTCAGCCGCCCTGCGGTGGTTCCCGTAGAAGTGCCCGATGTCCATGGTGCCATCCTAGGGATGACCAAGATGTTGGGTACTCTTGCGAAGGACGTACGCCGTGCAATTCCTGGCACTCATCAAAAGCCTCCTCAACCACACGGAACTCAAGTTCCGACTAATCATCTGGCGGTGGAGGTGGAGGTGACATCACCGGCGCCATCTCAAAAAAATGGAGAGAAAAGAGAGGGACGAGGAGTCCCTGTCTCTTCGAACCAACCAGCTCGAAGTGAAGCCTCGGTGTTTAGTAGATTGGGAGACCGACGACGCTCTGCTAAAGACCGTCTCGGACGATCGCACCATGTTAATAAAGAAAGGGATACACAAAACCACCGTGGACGACATGACCACGGTGAAGAGGAGCGCGTGCAAGCTCCCAAAGTCACCCATATGACTACCAGTCACCATTCACTTGGACACATGACTGAGCATGTCGGCGGGACTGAAATACGTTCACAAAAACCGAGGAACACAGAAGTAGAGGACGGTGGCAGGAAACGTGTGACGATTCAAGCAGACAGAACCAAGAATGATCTAAATGACGTGGAGGTGAGGAAGCTATGGAGAAAAATCGAGGACCTGCAACGACGGGTAGATGCAGGAGATGGAAACACAGACGCTAAACTAAAGACGGTAACCCCGTTCACTACACGGATCATGGCATACCCGTTACCAATTGGCTTCAAGGCGCCCCATGTCAAGGCCTATTCGGGAACCTCAGATCCCCAAGAACATTTGTCACGTTATTATGCTAATATGATTATGATTGGGGCATCGGAGGAAATAATTTGCCGTTGTTTCCTAGCTACGTTGGAGGGAACTGCGTGTGAGTGGTTCAATTCCCTCCCCCATGGATCGATAGATGAATGGGAGGACTTAGCGCAAAGGTTTCTTCAACACTTTGCCGCGAGCAAAAAAACCAAGCAACACTACTCACACCTCCTGACCGTGAAGCAGAAGAAGGGCGAGGACTTGAAAGATTTCGTGATACGGTGGAGGAAGGAGTCTTCTGCCGTGCACGGAGCGGACGACCAAACTCGCCTTGCCATGTTCCAGGCAGCGTTGAGGGCTGGGGAGTTCGCTTCAAGCCTCATCCGGGACCCGCCAAGGTCGTACCAGGCGGCCCTTCAAAGAGCTGACCGATACGCCGATGCGGAGATCCGAGAGGTGCAAAAGAAAAAGGACGAGTCATCGGAACCTTGGAGGGAGGGGTCTGTCCCTCACCACAAAAAACAAAAGAAAAACAAGAAAGATTTCAGTTATGGTCCAAGGCAGATTCCTAATACAAGCTCGATGCCTCTAACTCATCCTGTGGGTACGATCTTGGACTATGCCGAGCGTACGGGTCTCATGCAAGGACCGAGGCCGGAGGGTGAAGTGTACACTGTCTCTGGTGCTAAAAAGTATTGCCGCTATCACCGGGTTGATAATCACGACACGGAGGAGTGCTTTACCTTGAAACGCGAGATTGAAAGACTGATCCAAAGGGGCCATCTGAGTAACTTCGTCAAAGGGGCGGCACAGCAGCCCAACCATGTATGGCGGAAATCATCAGAACAAGTGGCATGCACGCAGCCGGAGACCCGAAGGGCAGAGAAAAGACACATTGGAAATGAGAGTGACGAGGATGCCTCGGATGAGCCAGGGCCGAAGCGAGACAAGAGGAACCATGACATCAATTTCATTTATGGAGGTAATGCAGGCGGGGACTCTTCGTCCCTTCGAAAGAAATGGGCTCGTCAACTGTACATTGGTGAGATCATGCACTCTCCAATGAAAAAGAAGGTACGACGTGAACCTATATGCTTTACTGATGATGACCTACCACCATGTCCAAGCCCACATCGGGATGCCATGGTTATCAAAATGGAGATCAATGATCTTGTCATACACCGTACCCTGGTCGACACTGGAAGTTCCGTTAACATAATGTACCTCGACACTTTCGAGAAACTGAAGTTGTCCAAAGGAAAACTCCATCCGATAAAAACCCCGTTATCTGGGTTCACGGGTGACTCTATCGAGGCAGAGGGAGTTGTCACGGTCCCGGTGGAGGTGGGGGACACGTCCCATAAAGTGAAACTCAACATGGAGTTCGTAGTTGTCCGACTGACATGTGCACATAATCTTATACTCGGACGGCCAGGCCTGGAAGATTTGCAGTGCATTGTGTCCCTGACACATCTTTGTATTAAGTTCCCAACACCAACCGGAGTGGGGATAGCACGCGGGAGCCAGAAGCTCGCCCGAACATGTTACATAAAAATCACAAAGAAGGTGGGGCGGCATGGCCTCCAGGTAAACACTGTGGCCACACAATACCTACAAGATGAAGAGCGAAGACCCCGTGCTGAACCAGCAGAAGGGACAGAAGAGGTCACCCTTGACCCTGCAACCCCAGAGCGCAAGGTTAAGATAGGCACCGGATTGTCAGCTGAGCTCCGCGCTGAGGTCATAACCGTCCTGACTATGTACCAAGGTATATTTGCAAGAGGACCAGAGGACATGCCGGGCATCAGTAGAGATGTCATCTCTCATCGCCTAGATGTGGACACTATGTCAAAACCGGTGAAACAAAAGAAACGTTACATGTCCTCGGACAGGCGGGAATTCGTAAGGAAAGAAGTGGGCACCTTGTTAAAAATCGGCCACATCAAGGAGGTGAAATACCCAGAATGGTTGGCAAATGTGGTATTGGCACCTAAACCCCCAACGTGGAGGATGTGTGTGGATTACACTGACCTAAACAAGGCATGCCCGATGGATCCATTCCCATTGCCTAACATCGACCAATTGGTGGACGAGACAGCGGGGTGTGAATTGATGAGTTTCATGGATGCTTTCAGTGGATACCACCAAATTCGCATGCATGAGGAGGATGCAGAGAAGACCTCATTCATGACTCCAGAGGGTGTTTTCTGTTACTTAGTCATGGCGTTTGGACTGAAAAACTCTGGGGCAACGTACACCCGCATGATCTCTAAACTTTTTCGACCTGTCCTAGGCCGCACCATGGAGGCCTACGTGGATGATATGATTGTGAAGAGTAAAAGAGCAGGTACGCATGCCGTGGATTTGGCAGAGGTGTTCAAAATCATGGAGAAGTTCAATCTTCGTCTCAATCCAAAGAAGTGCACGTTCGCCGTGCAAGGAGGGAAGTTCCTGGGTTACTTGGTAAGCAGAAGAGGAATCGAGCCGAATCCGGAGAAAGTCAAGGCCATACTCGAAATGGAACCTCCTCGTAATGTCAAAGAAGTGCAGCGATTGACGGGACGCTTGGCGGCTTTGAACCGCTTCTTATCAAAACTAGCGGAGAAAGCCACGCCATTCTTCCACATCATGAAGAAATCAAAGGGTTTCGTATGGACTGAGGAGTGTCAAAAGTCATTCGAGGGATTGAAAAACTACCTCTTGTCTCCTCCAGTGTTATCTAAACCTGAAGCGGGGGAGACACTATACCTATACCTAGGGGTTTCACCAAGTGCAATTAGTTCTGTCTTGGTGCGTGAAGATGGTGGCGTCCAAAGACCCGTTTACTATGTAAGCAAAACTTTGAGGGACGCTGAGCTACGGTACACAACCATAGAAAAAACTGTTCTATCCGTGGTGTGGACGGTCAAACGGCTCACGCAATACTTCCAAGCTCACCCTGTCCATGTACTGTCACACCAACCCCTGGGTGCCTTAATGAGGAGTCCCACGGCTTCCTCGAGGATGGTCAAATGGGCAGTGTATCTAAGTCAATTTCATATAGAGGTGAAGCCAAGACCTTCCATCAAGGGGCAAGCTCTTGCAGATTTCATAGTAGAATGCACGGCGCGGGAGGAAGCAACGAAGATGAAGCATGGCGACGATGAACAAGAGTGGTGGATACTGTCCACGGATGGCTCCTCCGCGGCCAAATCTTGCGGGGGAGGGGTGGTCCTCACCACGCCCGAAGGCTTCAGGGCCTATTACGCTATCCGGTTCAACTTCAAGGTGTCGAATAATGAGGCAGAGTACGAGGCTCTACTATGTGGTCTACGCTTGGCAGCAAACATGAGGGCAGAGAAGGTCAAGATACGGTGTGATTCAAAACTAGTGGTTGGACAGATCACGACTGAGTTTGAGGCGAAGGAAGAACGGATGCGGCTATATCGTGACGCTGCCCTAGAACTTCTGAAATTGTTCATCGCCTATGAAATTGAACAGATACCAAGAGCGCAAAATGTCGAAGCAGACATGTTATCCAAATTAAGTGCAGAGACACCGGAAAGGATTTCAAAGATTGCAAGGATAGAAGAGTTGGACACTTCCAGCATATATGCATGCCCTGTCCAGGCCATAACCACGAGGGACGCGGACTGGATTGACTCCCTCATCAAGTATATCAACGAGGGAGTGCTGCCCGCGGAGGAGGTTGAAGCCAAGGTGACTAAGATGAGGGCGCCGAGTTATACCATTTTGAATGAGAAACTGTACAAGAGGTCTTACAATGGCACGCTTCTCAAGTGCTTACGACCAGATGAAGCCAAGGTTGCCATGGAAGAGATACATGCAGGGATATGCTCAGCTCACCAAGGAGCACACACCATGTCCCGAAAGGTAATCCTACAAGGTTTCTTCTGGCCAACCATAGTTAAGGATTGCGCTGAATTTGTCAAGAGGTGTGTGGTGTGTCAAGAGTTCCAGAAATCTCCGGGACGTCCAGCCACCAACTACACCCCCATCAGCACGGCTATACCTTTCGCAAGGTGGGGAATAGATCTCATTGGTGCCTTACCAAGGGGAACAGGGAGCGTGAGATGGGTTATCGTTGCCATAGACTATTTTACTAAATGGATAGAAGCAGTACCCCTAGCAAGCATCACTGAAGGGCAATGCAGAAAATTTGTCAGGAAGCACATCCTTTGTCGCTTTGGAGTACCCCAACAGATCATAACCGATAATGGGAGGCAATTCGGAGCATCCGGGTTTAACGAATTCTGTGAGAGTTGGGGGATCAAACACAGCAATGCGTCAGTTGCCTATCCCCAAGCGAATGGCCAAGTGGAGAATGCAAACCGCACGATCATGGACGGTTTGAAGAAAAAGCTGGAAGCTGCCGGAGGGGAGTGGGCTGAAGAACTACCACAGATACTCTGGGCATACAGGACCACACCAAGAAAGGCCACAGGGGAGACACCATTCTCCTTGACATATGGTTTCGAGGCGAGGGCACCTGCGGAAGTAATTCTCCATAGCCGCCGAGAAGAGGAATATGACCCCGAGACGAACGAGGAGGTCATGGCGACCGAGCTTCTTTTTATTGAAGAAAGAAGAGAAGCGGCTTTCTGCCGTGCGGAGAACTATAGAAGGCAGGTGAAGGGATACCATGATTCTCGAGTTCGTAAACGCAACTTTGAAGTTGGGGACTATGTCTTGAGAAAAAGGGAGGTCAGCAAACCCTTGGAAGGGGGGAAATTTGCCAAAAATTATGAAGGCCCTTACGTGATTAAATCAGTGATCCGTCCAGGGACGTTCAAACTCCAGACGCCGAAGGGAAAAGAAATTGAGAGGACTTGGAACGCAGAACACTTGCTCAAGTTTTACCATTGAAAATTTATCATTGATACTCCAACCTGATGATTATGATGTATGGTAACCACGTATGGTGGTAAACGCGGTCCTTTTCCATCCACTGTTTTCAAATAAGAGATCTCCTTGATCCACACAAGAGTGAATAATGGCAGTCCCTGGCCGCAAAAAAAAAAAAAAAAAAAAAAAAAAAACATGGTGTCGTTCAAAGACACTGTGGGTGTCAAGCTCACCCAAAACAAAAACAAATTACAAGGTGTCATCCAAGGACACCGTGGGTGTAAAACTCACCCAAAACAAAAAAAAAAACAAAAAAAAAATGAAATAAAAAACTAGTAAGTAGTCAGACATGTCTCCTATGACATAGCTAAAATTCTCAACACGCAAGGGGTGTAGACTCGCCCCTAGAAAGGGGACGAGGATACATTGCAAATTGATCCCAACAAATGCGTAACCCTCAGGGTTGTATGGTCAGGATGCATCTGTGAAATATATCGGATAGCGGCCATGTTTCCCAAAAAACGTTGTGTGCCCCAGAGCAAGCCTAAGTCACTCAGGTGTTAGGTTCGCTCACTTAGTCCTATTTTTTGCGAATAAGTGATGCGCGCAATGTAGCGAAGGAGGAGGTGTCAACGACACCTTGTGCCTATCGTTGTCCTCAGTCACTCTATCTAAATGCACAATGCCTCAATTGAAAATTAGGCAGATACGGGGCGATAAATGCACCAAAATTATACACTTGGTGTAGTATCACCGTACACTACTATGAATGATCACACAAACCATGCCAAACAAGGCATGGTCACATCGTGGTCTCATAAAACCTAAATGTTGGTCAAATAATTAATTATGCGATAATACTGAACAATAACGAAAGGAAAATAAGACATGCATCATTATTATTTTATGAAATTCAAAACATGTTTAGCAATTCAGGTACTCGTAATTGAAGACATGACAGAATTAAAGTCTACACTACGTCCATCCATCACTCCCATGCATGCTCTAAGGCACAGAAGCAGTCGAAGCTGGGTGATCTGTCTCGGAAGGAAGATCGCCAAGCTCCTCATCAGTGGGGAGTCTGTCAAAAGGAATATAGTCCAGGGGCGTGTTGGCTACCGGGATCTCAGGGTTGGGAACCTCAGGAGGAAGTCCCCAATCAGTGATGCAAGAGGCACCAGCCTTATCCCTCAAGATAGGATATACTTTCTGTTGAGTGGCATATATCCCGATCTGGTAGGAGATGTAGCTCTCTAAGGCCAGTTTCTCACGACCTTCCGGAGTAGACAACCAATGCTTGCTAATATCGTTCAAGTGGGCATTAATGTATGCTTCCTGATCAGACACGAACTCTGGAGAATTCTTGTATGCATCCACGGCCCGCCCCCTTGCATTGGCCAACTCCACGGCGTGCATTTCTTTAAGCACAGTGACCTCGGCTGCATGTGAGTCACGCACGAGCTTGAGCGATGCCACCTCCTTCGCTAATTCGGTGAGTTGTAGCGACAAATCTTTTTCGCGCTCATCTTTCCTTCGGTTCACCTCGGAGATGGACAACAGTAGCTACAAAAAAGAAAAGAAAAAAAAATTAGTATCACGAGATGCATAAATAAAAGGTAACGGGGAAATGGGAGGGTTACCTCGGCCAGGCCATGGTGGCTCCTCTTCTCTAAAGCAGCATGGTCAAGTGTTGAAATTTTCTCCTTCTCAGTCGCCGTGATCACCTGTGATAAGAGCGGAGGTAACTCAATGTTACCTCGTAACCAAGTAGTCATCCCCGCCGTGGGAATATCACTCATGCTACGGGTGACACGGGCTGCGGGGCTAGCGGCCCTGCGTTTTGCAATGGATGAAGGCACAGTTACAATGGCATCCTTGCCTTTTGTGACGGAGGGAACCCTTGGTTTCTTGTCAGAGCGCCCCTGGTCACTACCGCGAGGCCCATCCTGGTCGAAGCTTTGGAACATCTCCAACCGCGATGTCATATCTGCAAAAAAAAGGGGGTATGCATATGTGTTAGTTAATATATATATGCGTGTATTATCTCCTATAGACAAAATAACTGTGGACAACCTTGATCCGTGGACGTGGATGCGTGTGCACCCGAACATGGTGACGGCGAATAGAGTCCAACCGTGGTTAGGCGGTCCTCGGAAGTAAAGGCAGAGAGGCTATACGGTCCTCCAGAAAGAATCATAGCCGGCCATGTCTCCTGGTCAACTGGAAGTTTCGGGTACGAATACTTCTTAAATCGACAATTCAAAGACGATGAAAAAGGTAACGGAGATCCAGACGACACATAGACAAATTCTTCTTTCCAATTGGCTTCGTTGCTACGAGTGACCTTCCACATATCAAAGTGGTTGCGCTGAGAGATAGACACCCAGGACAGACTATCAGATGCCGAGCACTGCCCAGCTCGGAACATATGCTTGAAGAGGTCTAGGGACGATTCAATCCCAAGTGTTTCACACCGGACTAAGAAAGCTACCAGATACTGATGACCGAGCGGAGTCAGGTGACAAGGTGAAATTTCAAGGTCATTTAAAAATTCAATAATCAAAGGGTGCGTGGGAAAGCGGAATCCTAATTTTATGGAGAGAATATGCACCCCAAAAAAGTGACCTTTAGGAGGATCGGTTACAATATCCTCCGAATCGGGACATCGAACAGTCACTGTGGACGGAAAAAATTTCTTATACTTTTCGAACTTGGAAACTGAGAGGCGCGACCTGTAGTGTAAGATGGGGCTCGGGTCTAAGGGTGGATACGGACCACGGTAGCGACGTTTTGGTGGTTTGACTGAAGCGGCTCGTGGCTTTATGGGACTAATTTCTTCAACATCAGAATTAACATCTGCCCAAGGATGAGGAAAATTCTCCAACACTAATTCCCCGTAACCACTGAGCAATTCATCAGAGTCTATGGAGTCCAGTATATCCATAAGGTATTAACAGCTAAAATATTATGCAAAAAAAAAAAAGGCAAAAGAAAAATCAGCCGTTAATTATAAAAAAATTACTACGTATATCAGTCATCAGCTATTCATAAAAAAATTATTATTAAAAAAAAATGTGTCAAGAATGTGGCCAAGGCAACTACGGTCAAAGCAAGACACGGTCAAGGCAAGATCAACATGCAGCTATGGTCAAACACAGAATTAATACATAGTGATGTTCCTTTACTTATTTGGGGAAAGGATAAATAAAATAAGAATAAATAAAAGAGAAGAAAGAGAAGGCAAGGAGCATACCTGTCTATGCCTACCCTGGCAAGCGGTGGCTGCGGCGGAATCGGAACGGACACCCAAAGCAGGACAGCGACGGCGCAAGCGGAGGACGGCGAAGACAAACAGTCCCTGAGGTCACCGAGGTGCGCGGGTGCCCGGCGGGAGGACCGATGGCAGTAATGACTGAGCAACGGGAGACGGTGCTGATTCGGCCGTAGAGGTTCGATTGCCGGCTTCACGTTGGGTCTCAGCTGGTGGTTGAGTTATTTCTCTGGTTCACTGCGGCCGGTAGAAGCTGGTGAAGGGCGACGGCAGATGGGAACTCCAAGGGAACTGGAGGGTGACGTGAAGGAACGCCGGCGGGCGGCGGGCGACTCTGGCCTGGTTGCCGACAAGCTACGGCCTGGACAGTGAAGTTCAGATGGTGACTGGTCCTCACTACCCACCTACGAAGCTAACAGGACGTAAGTAAATTTGGAGTCATGAGCTGCACACTTCAGTAAAGGGAAAGGAAAATTGAATTAGTTAAAATAATTGAGTAGGTAAAAAACAAAAACATTGACATGGTGACCATGTACATTCAATATTGACACAGCAACCATGTCTCTGTACTCCCTATAGCCGATATACTATTCGGCTTAGGAAGTGGGGGGCTTGTGATGGTATAATTATCCCAACCATGGATAAATATTGATCGGATTAACATGGATGAAAGTGAGTTAGAGGTTGATGTGCACGGTAACTATGTACGGGTGATGATAAGGTATAAGAAGAGCTCGTACGTGATGACCATGGGCGGGTTAGGAGATAAAAGACTGTACATGGCGGCTGTGGACAGGAGTTAGTAGAAGAATAGGGAGTACGGAGTAACCATGGATGTCATGGTAAGCTTATCCAAAGAGCACGTCCATAGCAACCATGGACGCAAGTAGAAGACCAGAGTGCACTATAGCCTTGGATGCCATGGCGAGCTTATATAAAGAAATGTCCACAGTGACCCTGGACATAGTAGTAGAAGCTTATCTAAACAATCTATACATGGTGTCTCTGGACATCATGGCAAAAGCTACATGGCGACTCCGTACGACAAACTACATCAACGACGTCTTTTCAAGATATTCACACAATCAACAAAGGATTCCACAGATCCGGATTATTGATCTGCATATCAATTCGAACATGGCGACCATGTCGCCCGAATCTTTTATGTCTTATTTTCTACTATAAAATCATGTAATCTTTGTAAAGTTAATCAAGCTCAATACACTGAATACACTACATACATTTATCTCTCTAAAGATTATCCTGAGCACTTTAATTATTTTCGGCTATCTCTTATTAATTATTTTCCGGTGGATTTACTTCCATCACTAATGTTTTTAACAAATACGGAAAACTTCTACATCAAAACGTATTGGTGTTCCGCATGCCACTGTCTTCATTCCTTTATCATTCTTTTTTGCCACGCATCTGAGTGGCGTTTCAAGTGCTTTTGCATACAATTGCACACATAACAACTCTTATGACAGTGGTCTCAACTAGGTTATGCAGTGTGCACGGGTCCTCCTGCATTATGCATAGAAAGATATGCACTCCCTCAGCTCCATTTTCAAAGGGTTATCACTCAAACCTTGAAACCATGACTATTTTACATGACCAAATAGTGATTGACTGATGCGGCAAGTACCTAGCCACCACACCAAGTTCAGCATTTATTTATAGATGTTGATATAACTTGTCTCCTAACAATTCAAGAAGAAAACTTGAAGGAATTCTGAAGGTTTCATTAATATATACATGTTGATTTAAGCCATTTAACTGCTGTACTATCATAAAGATTACAACGAAGGAATTCTGTAAGAAATAACCGTCAGCCTTTAAGAGTTATAAGTCCTTTGCAAACACCTAGTATATTTCTTCATTAATGACAAACAAAGCAATCAATTAAGCTGAGAGTAAATATCTGAGTAAAGATCATCCACACATAACTGCCTAAACACGAGGATAATTTGAAAGACAATTGATTACCGTTTTAGGCCCAACTCCACCAAAGCATGAAAGCTCTTTCTTGATTTCCACAATAGATAGATCCCTGAGGTACTCCAGGCACAACTTCCCTTTCTTCTCAAGCAAGCACTTCAAGATGTTCTTAATACAAGCTGTTTTGCTTGGTGCAAGGCCCCCACATTTTATAGCTTCTTCAACTAACTTCGGCTCAGCAGCATGAACCTTGCAGATGTACAAGACAACCACACGAAAATGATGAGACAAAAAAAAGTCAATTTATCTGAGTGCACTACACTCATGAAATATAAGTAGTCTATTAAGCATAAATTGTGCCATTCCACTGGCATACAAGTATTGTATAAACATAATTCATGGCTACAAGCCTACAAATCTCTTCAACAAACAGCAGAAGTACTTGTGTTGCTAAAAAGGGGAGCAGCCCAGTGCAACGAAGAGGCCGCTCCCAAGATTTGACATCTTGGACACAACAACAACAACAACAACGGGACAAGGCCCACTTGTGTTGCTAATTCAGAAAATATATGCATGGGGGCAAATTGATCTAAATTTGCAATTCGGTGAAAATATTCCTTCAGAGATTTAAATTAAAGCACGACCCATCATCTATCTGATATGTGAAGGCATTGCTCCGTATTGTTAGAAAAATAATACTTAAATTGGCTAGTTTAGTCAGATAGAATCCCGAGTTTAATCACAAATCACCCGACAAAGTACCAAATGCAAGAGATCGTTCAACATATAACAACTAATGAATAACAAAATTAAATTCAATGAAAGCATACATCTTCCCAGGTGGGGAAAGAATACTTGAGAGTACTGAAAGCCCTCCGAGCATTGACCTCGGTGGTGTTCTGCGACAGTATGGCGCCCACTAGGCCGTCCAGCACACTCTCATGGGAAAATCCGTCGCTATCGTCACCGTCTTCCTCAGGATTAGGGAGGTTGAGGTCAAGAACAGGGGATTTCTCGTTTAGCAGAAGCCTCTGTTTGCGATACTTGAGGAAGTCCTTGGGAAAGCCGTGGAGGGCCATAAGGTCATCCAGCACGCCCCGGCAATCTTCCATGGTAGGTTTAGGGAAATCTGGGTATGGACCCCGCCCGCGAACGGCGGCGCCGCCATGGTTTCGGGCTGGGGGCGGCGACGGGGAGCGTTTCCTTTTCAGGGTAGTCGGCATTTTAACCAAGTCGCGCGCCAAACGAACAAAGACAATCACAGGGAATAGCACCAATCCAGCATACTATATATACATCTGTATCTGTATCTATACACACGCGGTGGGTATAATATTGGGATTTAGGCACGTGTCGCGGAATTTCAACGCTCTATTTTTAGAAAAATCAAACTTCAGATTTTTCATCACATTAATAGTATCATACTCCAATTAATTGGGAGTGAGCATCCGTCCCAGACCCTGCATCAAAACTGTTTAGGGCTTCTTCCAATATTACCTATAATGTCCGATGGTATAATGTCCACGGTGCACATGTGCCATGAGTGATAGCCACATAATTATAAGCAAATAAATTATTACTCTCTTTATTTGAATGATTTTAAGCAATTTTGGTAAGTTTTTCCCTGCAATGTCAACAACAATGTCAACATTAGACGGTCTCCTTGACATTGTGGAGAAAACCTTACCAAAATTGTATAAAATCATTCAAATAAGGATAGAAATAATTTATTTACTAATATTTATGTGATCATCTTTCATACCACGTGTGCACCGTACACATTGTACCATTGAAGATGCTCTAATTCAAGCTAATTTCTAAAAATGACCACTTTTATAAAAGGAAAAAAAAACGTGACTAAGAAGTCAAGAAGGTCACATATATGAAAAAATATGATGTCACTCTTTTTATATGTCACTGTCAGATTTGTATGTCACTATTGTATGTCACCATTACATTTTTATTTCACTTTCGAAAGTCACTATAAACGTTGGGAAATTTCCCGAAAACTTTTTCCGGCGAAACAATACACCACCAGCACCCCGCTGACCACATTTTTCGTGTCGCTGTGACTTGTCACTATTGTTTTCATGTCACTTTCAGAATGTCACTGTACCGCCGGAAAATTTTTCCGACAGTTTTTTCCAGCCAAAATGAGCAGCACATCCATCGCCGCATGCCGGAGCTGAACCACCATCGCTGCAATTGGTCGCCGCAGCGCCTCCATCATCTCCGCACTCCTGAGCCAAACCACCATCGCCGCAATTGATTGCCTCAACCAATTGCGCAGAGTGTGCCGAGATGAAACGTTCAGAGAGAGAAAGGTGCATGTAGCAGGTAACTAATACTCCCTAATATTTTTGTAATATTATTAGTGTCATTGTTTCTAGTTTTCGCCACATTAATATATTTTTTGAATAATAAAGATCGGGTTTTTATATTAAAAATCAGACAAGATACAAGATAACATCCAGACAAGTATGACAGATCCGACTATGAGTCTTGAGAATAGACATAAAATCAGCCACCTCATACAAAGCAACTTGATTCGTTAGACAAGAAACACACAATTTAAAGACTAAAACAATCTAGACTGAAATACTCTCTATCAAACATACTTTAGAAGTTCAAATTTTCAAATCAAACCTACTCAAAGTAAATAAAACAAGTACTACTGATGAAAAAACAAAATTGAAATAAAGGTTTTCCACAAAACTCTTAATGGCACAAAGGTGGTTCGGGAGGAAGGCGAGTTTTTACCAATGTCTACGTGCGCACTCTAAAAGAAGGTAGACTGAATCACTGAAATCCCTGACCAGACGAAGCTAACTGGCACACCAAAAGAACTCTCCACATCGAGAGAGACAAACCACCCCAGAACACTGGTGTCTGGGAAAGAAACGCCATCAAACAACCAGAAGAGAAGAAAAATCCAAATGGCTCACACCTCTATCAAAATCTCCGAGCGTTGATGTCACCGTGAAATAGTTCGGATCAGTGAAAGCCATAAGAAAATTTATCAAGGGAAAGAGGCCTCTTCCGTTACCATATTAATATTAACTAGCGTCTTATCAGTGGCGCATCAAGAAAATTCGGTCAGTGGGGGCGAATTTACACTTACGTTACCACACATTTTTTAGGAAATAAATATTAAATAAAAAATTGACAATTTATTAAAAAAAAGTATAAGAAACAAATGAAATATGTTATTATAAGTCTATAACTAATTTAAGTTGCAAATAAACAAGTGTGTTTTAATATTAAGTGCGAAAAGATGTGATTAAAATTACATACTCCTTCTATCCCGTTAAGATTGTCTCATTTTACATTTTCGTAAATGCCACTAAAATTATCTCATATCAAATTTGATAAAAGTTTGTGTAGCTCTAAATCATTTTTACTTTATAACTATGTCATGTCCTCTGGTTCCAATGTTAGTGGAATGGAGGTAATACCATTTAGTAGTTACATTAAAATAAATTATGTTAAACTAATTTGGATCTTAGGTTTAGACATTCTATAGTTTATTAAATATAAAACCAAAAAATACATAAGAAATTGATGAATTATGTGATTATAAGTGATTTTTAATATTGTGTGAAAAGATGTTATTAGAATTACATATCATTTATTGGCTACATTAAAAAATTAATTTGAATCTTCAATTTGAACAAATAATGAACAGTTTTAAAAGGACAAAAATACTAGACTAAATTAGCCAGGAGGATTCAAACTCGGACAACTACGGGTAGGCCTGTCAATGGGTCGGGTCTAGACCCGGACCCGACCCGGACCCGGTTATTTTTAACGGATATGGGTCCATATTTTATTCCGTTTACCCGGACCCGGATCCGGACCCGTTAGTATATTTAACAAACGGGTCGGGTACGATACATATGATTCTGACCCGTTAAGGACCCGGACCCGTTTAAAATTTCTTATTTGTATACAAACACTCTAATACATAAAGTAATTAATTATAACACTTCAAGTAAAAAATTACAAACTATACACACACACATACATAATAATAATAATACATAAAATTATTAGTTGTAATTCTTCAATTGAAAATACACACACTAATACATACCTATTAGTGTGTGTATTAAATTAATACCCATTTTGACCGTTTATTCATAGTGATAAATGTGAATTATTAGTATTATTATATCATTATCATACACTCCATACAATATGTTTTTATACTCTCAATAGTCCAAGACATCTTTTGTGACTTAATTTGAATTTTATGCTACGAGCTCTACGTACGAGAAAAAGCGACACAGATTGTTGAGTTATACGCAAGAACCAATACTTTATTGGATAAAAGTAATAACATGATAAACCTTGATTTTTTTAAAAAAGTGAGGATATATTTTGCTTTTTAGTTTGCACACTTTTCTTTACATTTCACATAGAGGTCTTGTTATTTTCACAAAATTTATAGCGGTATCATACTTGGCGGGTCCAAGACCCGTTGGGTCTGGGTCCGGGTCCAAATTTTCAGACCCGCCGGGTAAACGGGTCGGGTCTGGGTCCATTATTAACTTAGCGGGTCCAGGTCTGGAACACTACGTTCCGGCCCGGACCCGACCCATTGACAGGCCTAACTACGGGAGCGTGCAACTCTCCAACCACTAGGCTACGAACTCACCATGTGAACTTTGGAGCTTAAACGTAATTATACTATCAAAACGATAATATGATATATGCACACAAATTAATTATATATATATATATATATATATATATATATATATATATATATATATATAGGGTGCGGTTCCAGTGAGAACGATGCTTAACGTGAGAACGTGAGAACACTCACAATTAACCCAGCGTGATACACAATTGAGCCCGTCAGGTGCACATTTGGGTTTAGCTCAAAATAAGCCTATATAAATAATGACGGTGGCATTTTAGTAAATACTGTGCCGAACGCGAAAATGTGCATTGGGCGAGCCTCATTGTGCATCACATTTGGGTAAATGTGGTGTTCTCACGTTCTCACGTTAAGGGTTGTTCTCATTTGATCCTAAATCTATATATATATATATATATATATATATATATATATATATATATATATATATATATATATATATATATATATATATATATATATATATATATATATATATATATATATATATATATATATATATATACTTCGTATAATGTTATGTGTCTTTCTTTAATTTGATACAATTACTAATAAACTGATTCAAATGTAAAAGTTGAGATTGAGATTTGAGTATAATAAATTGAATTGGTACAAACCGCATATTTCTTTCCGAAAATAAAACATGACATGTATTTTGAGACAATCCAAAAATGAAATTAAGACAGGTAAAATGAGACAAATGGAGTACTATGTAGCAAGTATTAAAGATGATTTAATTTGACTGGAATGTTTTTTTATTTCTTCTCATCTGGTAGATGTTTGTTGTTGTGTATTTTACTATTGTTGAAATTTAATCTAGTCTTAAGTCTAATAAAAAACATCATAATTATAAAGTCTGATTTCGTATGATGCTTTTAATTGGATTGGTTTCAATCATTAGTCACAACGAGTTCGACTAAATCTAGGACAGGCCTAATTTGACTTAAATAAACTAGATTAGATTAAAAAAACAAATGCACCGTGTACATTTTGCACGAAAGGCAGCAGCATTATTTTCATTTGGAGTTTTATAGAAGCTGGTTATGGGATTGTGATTGTTTCTATTTTAAAAACTGGTTTCCTAAAGTGATCATAGAGAAAGTGTTTAATAGTAAGAGGTAGTAGTGTTTGAGCAAAAATGTTTTTGAAAAGGTAAAAATTGGTAGTGTTGGTAAGTGTTTTTTGTGTAGTAGAAAAAACGGAAAATAATTTAAAACACACATCTACTTGTTTTTTGCTTTTAAGTGTATAAATTAGGTATAAGTTATCATTTGGAAGTACTTATTTCAGTTTTTTTTTTCAAATAAAAAATTGAAAAACACTTTTTATTTCGCACTAAATTATAGAGCTCCTATAGAGCTAGTTTGGTAACACTGAAATTAATTGAATCGGCTTATACATTAGTCAAATTAGCCAGAAAATTAATTACAACCTTATTTATTTTTATTATTGCACAATCGAACGGGAAATAAAAAATCACGTGCATGATGAAAAAGTTGAATGATAAAAGTAATAAATCAAAAAATAAGGTCATCAAACAAGCTTAATTATAATCAAATAGTATTTTTCAAACGTAGTGCATGTTTGGCAGACATTTTTTTTACC